GATAGATTTTATTAATTATTAATTAAAATTTTAAAAATATTATAAAATATATAATTATGAAAATAGATAATATTTATTATTTTTTAATATTTTAAGTTTTTTAATTTATTATAATTATTAAAATATTATAAAATATGATGTAATTAAATTATATAAAATGATATTTTAATGAGTAATTTTATAACTATATTCAATATTAAGTGTTCTTTGTAAATATCATAAGCAGAAAGTTTTAAAATGAGACTTTTAATTTTATATATAAAATTATTATAAAATAACTGATTTTTTACAATTTAAAGAAAAAAATTGGTTTAAGTACCATTTTAGTCCCTCAACTTTACACTTTGGTACCAAAATTGTCCCTTATCTTTAAAAAGTACCAAAATTATCCTCCAACTTTCATTTTCGGTACCAAAATGATCCTTCCGTCAGTTAAATGGACAGCTGGCCGTTAAAATGCCACCAAATCACATTTTTATAAAAATAATAATTACGTGGAATAACACACCATGCAAAAGGTGATGATATGGCTTTTTTTTTTCCATGTGTTTTTTTTTTCTATTTAAATAAATCCACATAATTTATTATTGCATTATTCTTCTTCTTCTTCCTCCCTTCTTCTCTCTCATCCCACCGCCCCTTCCTCTTTCCCAGCCTTCTTCCTCCTACCTTTTTCTTCTTCTTTCTCTCCCCCCTTTCTTCTTCCTCCACTTTTTCCTTCCAGATCTGTGTAGGTTCTCCCTTGATAACTCAAATTAGAGGTACCCATGAATATTTGGATCTATGGTGAATCGACCTTGGCGACGACCTTGGCGATGACCTTGGCAGCAACCTCCACGTCACTGACCTTGGGTTCGGTTTATTTTGCTTCAACTTCTTAACTTCTTCTGCATTTTCGTTCTCCTTCGAATCTTTGAGACCGTCATCGCCATCTGAACTGCGTCTCCCACATCTGCATTCGGCTTGGCCTTCCGCTGCCTCTTAGCGTGGTGACCTTTTGCCAGCCATGGTCAATGGTGTGGGTGTTGGTTTCGTGGGTTTCATTGAGGTGTAGTAGTGTGGTGGTGATAGCAAAATCAGAAGTCTGAGATGGGAGAAAGGTTGAATGGCGGAGAGGATGAAGGTTTGTGCCAATAAGGAAAAATGGGTTTGGCGATGATGAATTTGTAGAGGGGTGAAAGAGTAGTTTGATGAAGAAAGTTTGACAATTTGTAGGTAAAAATGTCGAGACGGGACCTAGATCTGGGCCTGAGAGAAACCCAGATCTGGGTTTGAGAAAAACCCAGATCTGGGTTTGAGAGGGAGAAGGGAGAAGAGAGAAAGAGAAAGAATAAGACGAAGAAAGAATAAGACGAAGAAAGAATAAGACGAAGAAAGAATAAGACGAAGAAAGAAGAAGGATGAGCAGGAAAAGGAAGGAGAAAGGTTGATAGAGAATGAGGAGGCAAAATTATCGAGGACGAAAAGAGGAAGAAGATGAAGTTTGTGAGAGAAAACCCAGATCTGGGTTTTGAGAAAACCCAGATCTGTAATTGGAAAACAACCTTTTGCTTTATGCAAACACCTCGTCCATGAATTCTTGGCTGATTCCATAGAAAAATCCACAATTCAAACACACTTAAACCAAACTAAATAGAAACACATAAATTCGAAATTCCAGAAAGAAAAAAAAAAAGGTTAAAGCTGAAAAATTTTCCACCATAATCACAACAAACGTAGCAGGTATTGAAAATAATTACGAATTTTCAACACATCTTTAATGTATTATGACCCAAACCAGACTTGATGATGCTAAGCTTCGAGTTTTAGGGTTTGCAGAGGCAAGGAAAAAGGAAAGGTAAAGGAGAGAGAAAGTGAAAGAGGAAGAAGAGATGACGTGGATGGAAAGAAAAAATCAAAATTTTTAAATTAAATAAAAATACCAACTCATAAAAAAAAGATAGCCAACTGTGATTTTTTTTCCATGTCATTGATTAAGAAAAAAAAAGAATTGATTTGATGGCATTTTAACGTGCCACCTGTCATTTAACTGACGGAAGGACTATTTTGGTACCAAAAATAAAAGTTGAAGGATAATTTTGGTACTTTTTAAAAGTGAGGGACAATTTTGGTACTAAAGTCAAAAGTTAAGGGACCAAAATGGTACTTAAACCAAAAAAATTTAAAAAAAATTACCAAATACATATATATTTAAAAGTGCTGTGTGATTACACGAATAACCTCTCAATCACAACCTCAAACGCACCCTTATTCTACCTTAATAGATTTGTTTACACCATAAATTGCAAAATTTTAGATTAATGCCACGTGTAAAATTTTTATTGGCTGGAGGAGTTTTGAGCCATGTCAGATTCGAATCCTGGGCCCCATGACAAATCAGCACGTGAGTTGGCAAAATAAGAGAGATAAAGATAATGTTGAGTAATTATCTTTTGAAA